TGACAAATTAATGGAGGCTTAGTGCACACAACTCTCAAAATTAAAAACTCCAGGAGACCCAGCCATGCTGTTTGGGGAGGTGCTCCTCAATACTTGGAGATTTACCTATGGGGGACTCACCAGTTTCCTACAGTAAAATGTCATAAAAATCCCCATATGCTTTCAACAGGGAAGGAAATATTTTGAAATGCCTCAGAACACTGTGTTCCTAACAAGGTCTGCCCTCAGGGAAACTAGTTAACCAGAGCCTAACTTGGAGTATTATTATCAAAGCCTAACTGACTTGAGGGAAGGGAAATACAGAATTCAATCCCATATAGCCTTCAGGTTTCTCCTACAGAGGGGAAAAAAAAAATGAGGAATGCTTGTGAAGTTCACAGTATAGGGGCATAGTCTCACTAAAAGACAGTTATAATCAGAGGCTATAGAACGCTTCCCCCGCCCCACACTTAAACATCCCATTACTACAGGACCATTTACAGCAGTTGCATTTCCAGTACAATATATCCAGCTATCAAGAAAAAAATTACAAGGGATACCAAAAGGCAAAAAAACAAACAAATTGGAGAGACTCAGCAAGCATCAGAATCAGACATGGCAGGAATGTTGGAATGATCAGACTTGGAATTTAAAGTAACTGTGGTCAATATATTAAGTGTTCTGATGAATCAGGTAGACAGCATATAACAACAGATGGGCAACGTAAGTAAAGAGATGAAATCCTAAGAAAGAACTAAAAAGAAATGCAAGAAATAAAGAACACTGTCACATAAATGATTAGGCTCATTAGTAGACTGGACATGGCTGAGAAAAGAGTCTTTGATCAGGAAGATATACCAGTAGAATCCTCCAAAACCTTAGACATCCATCCTTATATATTTGTCTCAACCCATAGAATGTATAACACCAAGAGTGAACCATAAGGTAAACTATGGACTTTGAGCAATTGTGATGCATCAATATAGGTTATTCCTTGGTAAGAAAGTATACCATTCTGGTAGGCAATGTTAATGGGAGAGGCTATGTATGGGGGGGGGGGCAGTGGATATATTAGAAATCTCTGTTCCTTCCTCTTAAATTTCTTGGAAACCTAAAAATGCTGCAAAAAATAAACAATTCATAAACACACACATAAAATAAAAATAGGGAATTGTATGAAACAAACCAACAGTTAATTTGTCCCATGTAAATTCTTCCTGGGTATGGTCTATGCAGCTAGAAACCCAGTTTTAGACTTTTCAAAATATTGCTCTTTCATTATAAATACCGCAAATAAATATTCTTTCACTAAACTCAAAATGTGGAACATCTTTGACACTTCCATTAATTCAAGCCCATCTCCAACATAGTCTGTCAATATGTACCCTTGTTTTTGTTTTCTTCTTCATAGTGGTCTTTTTTTTTTCTTCCTATTGTACGTGACAACACACTATTTTACTTATTTATTTATTTATTTTGTATGAAAGAGAAAGAGAAAGAGTGAAAGTGAGCAGGGGAAGGGAAGAGGGACAGAAGGAATCTTAAGCAGTTTCCACACTCAGCAGGGAGCCTGATGTAGGGCTGGGTCTCACAACCCTGAGATCATGACCCGAGTCCTAAGTCAAACTTAAGAGTTGACTCTTAACCAACTCAGCCACCCAGGAACCCTTATGTTTTTTATTTTTTATTTTTTTATTTTTTTATTTTTTGAGAGAGGCAGAGAGCAAGCGAACCAACACACTATTTTATGTTATCATTTCATGCAAAAAATGTACACTAACAGGTTTCCTTAACCTTCATTTTTTTTTACTTAAAATATATCCTGCGGGGTATTAGCTAAATTAATTTTCCAAAAACCACTTCACCCTGACCCAAATCAATTAAAAATTTTAAATATATCTAACTACCAGGATAATAACATGGAATCAAGTGATATTTAAAAAATATTTTTTACATTATTTCTGATTGGTTATTTAGTTTCAAGCCTGATATGTAACTTTTTATGTACATAAACTACTCCCTCACTAATACATAACTCTGAATCTTGTCTAGGTATTTATACTTTATTGAATTTCCCTCACTAGTGAATTGTTACTGTGTATATATAGGTGTGTAAGTAAACATTTCTTTTTTTTTTTAAGTTTATTTATGCATTTTTGAGAGAGAGAGAGAGAGAGAGCACTCACATGCAAGTGGGGGAGGGGCAGATAGTGAGGGAGAGAGAGAGAGAGACATGATGCCTGATCCCCAAAACCATGAGATCATGACCTGAGCTGAAATCAAGTCAGATGCTTAACCAATTGAGCCCAACTAGGCACTCCAACATTTCTTGAATTAAGTAAAAAATATGTTTTAAAAAAGTCTTTCTGAATTGGTTGGGTTATTTCTGGTGAAAAATAAAGGCTAAAGTTTAGAATATGAAAATATCACTTAAGGGAGCTATACTTGTAAACCGAACTATAATTAGAAGGAATCAAATGGGCTGAGACCAAAGTTAAACTATTTCTTGCCATGAAAATGCTAAAAATTAATGAAATTATATAATTTTATTTCCAGTTAATAAATTTATTTTCAAGAAGCCCTTTCAAAACCCCAGTAACGTATTTTAATCTAAAAAATAATTTCACATGAGTATCACAAGAATAATTGAACCATTGCTGAGCATTCATTCTGCATTCCCACAATTCCTTTAGACCAGTGCTTTGCAAACCTTAATGTACATTTACATCTCCTGGGGCTCCTGTTAGAAGTCAGTGTTCTCATTTAGTGGGTTTGGGGGGGGGGCACAATACTCCACACTTCTAACAAGCTCCCCTGTAAGGCCAATGAGGCTGGCCTACACACTTTGAATAGAAAAATCGAAGGACTCTCTAAACCTAAGTCATCTTCAGAATGTGTTTATGACTTTCCCCTGTTTAATGACTCACAGCTCAAGTGTGTGTCCTATTACACTTTCAGGAAAATCAAATATAAGGTGATTATTGCGGGAAGGTAATGATTATTTCCAAATAATCAAGTTTATTCCAGAATTTTTTTTTTAATCTGAAAGATCTGTTTGATTAAAGTCAGTAAACTACAGCACTTATTCTGATCACGCTACAAACTCTGTTTTCCTTTAGATTTACGTTTTCAAATGTTTGGATTTCATTTCATTTTTACAATCACAGAGTTTTCATTATTCTTCTAAAATATTTATCAAAACCATTTTTCTCTAAAACATATTAATTTTATTTATATATGTAAGCAAAGAATGGCAGATCACAAAATATAACAGACATTTTGACTCATCTCAATAATTAATTAGGTCTCTACACATCACAGATGATCCATTAAGCTGCAATCCATCCTTGGCTAATAAAAGGAATTAGTCATTCTTCAGTCAGCTGATTATGTTAAGATTTTAATGTACCATTTTCCTAAATTTTCTTTAATTTTACCATTTATAACAATAGAAAATCCTGAAGATTATTAAGACCCAATCCAAGGCTCTATGGATGAATAATTTTAATCCTTTTAGAGGTTTATAGCACCAATACAGCCTAACGAAATTTCAACATTGAGAAAGAAAAGAACATTTTTCAGGTATGTTTATACAATTTAAGTGAGCCAGCGCATACTAAATACTTCCTTTTTATGCATCTGATACCATTTTATGCATCTAGTAAAAAGCACTATGTGAAATAACTGAATCAAAGCCCTACACTTAGGACTCAAATAATATGAGTCCATATGCTTAATCTTATTTTCCAAGCATTCATTACACATTACCTACTGTGCTCTAATGTCATAGGAAATATATAATTCTAAATTGAACATTTATCACTCTATTTTAAGTATGTGTTTGCATATGTATCACTGTTTCGATTGTAGGTTTAAAGCATGGTTTTATGTCTTGAATCAAAAGTTACACATAAATGGATTGCACAAAATATTCAATAAATATTTTTGGAATTGAATATTATTATTCTAAAATATTTCAATGAGAAGGAAACGATTTATTTTTCTAAAATGTACAACATGGCATCAACGACCATTTGTACCGTTTTATGCTCATATCTTGTTTATATACAACATCACAGAACTCACATAAAACATCAGTCAAATAGGAAATCAATATATGATTTTTAAATGAAATATGTAACACAAAGTATCAGATAAGTTATCAAACATTGTTAGGAATGTTACAAATGCAGACAGAATTCCAAGAAGCTCCGATCCTTGTTACTCTTGTCAGATTAAAATTTCCCTCTAAGCAAAGCCCTTTGAAATTAATTTTATTCCCCCAGAATGTGACCTGCATGCAAACCAGTAATATACTTCTCCAGCTAAGCCACATCTAACATTTTAACATGATAATTAGCAAAAACAGACAAAGCGCACAAAAACGGGGTGCAGTGGGTCGAAAAAGCATGTGGCAGGAGTAAAGAGAAGCACTGGTGAGTGAGACACATAAGTTAGTGTGGCCATTTTCTCTAAGATTCCCACTAATAAGCTAAAGAATAGCACCCAAGAGTTTTTGCTTCACTCTCAGCAGCCTTTGTAACTTCAGTAGCTATTGTGACAGTCCCAGATGTAACGTGATCCTCGATCAAGTTAGCAGTGCTAATACAGCTGTGACATTACACCTGCTGCTTCCTGGAAGTCTCATTCTACTGTAGCTAGGATTTATTTCACTGTGTGGAAATTGGTAGCAAGAATGCTCTCAGGGTAACTTAAAGATGTTAGGATAAAACCCATCTGGTACCCAATTTTCTTTGATCCAGGGCTTAAACTGCTTCTGAAAAGCAATGAATGAAGAGATGGGGAGAAAGAGCTTGAGAATTTTATTAGGAATTCCTTACCAAGGTAGGGTGTCATTCCTCATTTAATGCATTCTTGGAAGAACATCAAGGAAAAACTTCTATAGCTAGAAGGAAAAACCCCTTAAAGATCATTTCCTTTCAAAGTTACTTATGTGAAGACCTGTGCATGTACGAATAAATAGTGTGCAAATAATCACAACACACTTCAGAGTGTCCTACTATGTGAATGTGTAGTATATGCACTAAATCGGGATTTACTACACAGCAATCTGTGTTCTTGCCGGTAAACCTAAAAGTGCGAAGAGACATGACATTAATTTGTAAAATTATTCAAAGGTACAAACGTGGAAATATATTATCGGTCATAAAGATATACTTAATTTATAAATATAGTGGATTACATGTGGATTAGCACAGTCATCATTAGACAGATCTTTTTGGCATGCATTTATGAGATGGTCAGGCTTAAATAAAAGAAGCAGACACTTTTATCAGCACTAACTTTTAATTCTAATTATGCTTCAATATTTGCACAATACTAAAAAAGCCCATTTGTAGATAGCCTATCTTATCTCTATTATGGAGGCCCATTACATAAAAAAGGATTAACTCCTAAATTATACATCTGTAGCTGAAATATAAAATTGGAATAGTGTTGCATTAAATTTCATTTTCTTGGGGGCAGAAAGGGACTAGATTCTAATTTATTTTCTATTTTTCGTAATGCTTGGCTCAATGTTAAATAGTACTTTCATCATATATTTCAAACTGAACTAAAAAGACAATAAAAGGTTTATTTCTTTATTTTCTAATATTTATTCATGTTTTTAAGTCTTAAAGGTATCGATGCTTAAGTATGCACTCTAAGACATAGTGTGAGTTTTGTAGATACTTAAAATATTAAGCTATATTATAATAAGCATCCCAATGCACTCGGTGTACCAATATTTGCTTGTGGATGTATTTTTTTTCCCACACATTTCAATGGACTGTGTTTAGAATTTTCACTGTGTAGATGCAGTCACTGAGGCTCAGGATTGTTCTCTCAGCAACGTTCATGGAGCACTGTCTGTGTGCCATACATTCTACTGTGTGGAGGCTGTCAAATGTGAACAAAGCTGAAACGATTCTCACTATCTAAGAATTAACAGTGTTGATGGGTGAAAAGAGCCCCGAATGCAAACATGGAAGCTCTGAGAAATCTTTTTGCAGGAAATCATATCGTAGATGACACACAGGGAAGAGGAGACAGAGTGCAATCTTGTGAACACTTGTGCATATTGTATGCAAGCATGTGCAGTGGTTAAACTGAGTTCTGGCCACATAGTGGGATGGAATTGTTTTCCATGAATTGGAATGACGGATCATGAATATGCAATGGGTCACAAACAGGGAAACGACTGTACAAAGCTCATGTACAAAAAAACGAGCATGATAAAATGGAATCATTTCATTTTGATTGTATGACAAAATTTCTTAAGATGTCTAAGCTCAAACCTAAACTTAGGTCCAGGCTTGTTATAATGCAGAGTCCAAGCCATCTAATTCTTCAGCCACAGCCTTCTCTATCTTAGCCAGGTTGGTCTTATGACTTCCATGGGCCCGTTGAGGACTTTTTCCTCGATAAAACATAACAGCAAACATATTTTACAATGGCATTCATATAAGGACACATATATTAATATTACATATTAAAGAATTGTCTTTGATATAAAAGTTTACTTTCTGGCTCTAAAGAAATAAAAACACTTTCATGTTTTGGTCACCCCCCCAAAGTAAGGGGGACCCTAAGCTCTGGGCCTACTGTGCCTAAGGGAGAAATTACACCTGGCCTTAGCACAAACATATGGGTTAGAGCCCCATGTCCGGCTCCGTGATGACAGTGCAGAGCCTTCTTGGGATTCTGTCTCTCCCTCTCTCTGCCCCTCCTCTGCTCATGCATGCTGTCTCTCAAAATAAAATAAATAAACTTAAAAAAAAATAGTATTACTGTCAGCACAGAGCCCGGCATGGGGCTTGAACCCATGAGCCACAAGACGAGCCCTGAACTGAAATCAAGAGTCAGACACTTGGGGTACCTGAGTGGCTCAGTGGTTTAGCGTCAGACTTTGGCTCAGGTCACGATCTCGTGGTTCATGAGTCTGAGCCCCACATCAGCTCCTTACTGTCAGCCTGTCGGCACATAGCCTTCAGATCCCCTGTCCCCCTCGCTGCCCCTCCCCCAGTTGTGCACCCCCCCAAACAAAAAAAAGAGTCAGATAGTTAATTGACTGAGTCACCAGTATCAAGTACTTTTGAACTGAGTTTCAGAAATAAATTTTTTCTCCCATAATTTAATCTGACAGAGATGGAAACAGTTTCAAGAGTAATGTTATATGATGTGCTCAGTCTCCAGTAGTTTGTGTCATAACCAGAAATACAACTCAGGTCATCCGATTTCCCTTGCACCGTTCTGAAATGTCTTGCATAATTTAATAATGAATAGATGTTATCATGATTAAAACTTGCACTGAAATACTGTTATCGAGAAGACATCCTGGCTAGCTTCCAGTTTGCTGAGCACAGAAAAGATGAACTCACTGGAGTGGGGAGATCTGACACCACAGAAGTGTTCTGAATTACAGACCACAAAAGTATGTGGACATATACACATTCCGGATACAGAATATTTATTAAAAATGCCAGCAAAAATGTGTTTGGACATGTAATGTCCACAGATTGCTTTGGACTTAAAACGTATGATTGTCATGTTGAATTTTAAGTATAAAGTTGCTATTCAAGTCCCTTTGAGAACAAAGGTTCAGTAGCAACCCTTCTTTTTAAAGAATTATGTCTTTAGGAGGAAAGTTGGAATTGGTGGCAAAATAGTTAATAAAAATAATTAACAATTTTTCTTGAAAGGTATGGCTCCATTTAGTCGTTTCTGTCCCCTACTCTAACTTTACACCCTGTTCCTGGCCTCATCACTACCATTCAATTCCCTGCTATGCTTCTTGGAATTCCAACTGAAATACAGCTCTCAGTCTTTCACATGATAAGTTTTATGACCACCTACTTTTTTTAATTTTTTTTTAACGTTTATTTATTTTTGAGACAGAGAGAGAGCATGAACGGGGGAGGGTCAGAGAGAGAGAGGGAGACACAGAATCTGAAACAGGTTCCAGGCTCTGAGCTGTCAGCACAGAGCCCGACGCGGGGCTTGAATCCACGAACCGCGAGATCATGACCTGAGCCGAAGCCGGACGCTTAACCGACTGAGCCACCCAGGCGCCCCTGTGACCACCTATTTTTAAAAGTTTTGGTTTTCATGTATGTATATCTGACTTTTTTTTTGTAGTATAAACACCAATGGAAGAAACACATCTGTAATTATTTTTAACCATTAGAAAGTATTACAGTTTATAAGTCTGCTTTACTGAATCATTTAGTGCTTAAATCCAGGGTAATACCAAAAAAAAAAAAAAAGTCATGTAACAAAAATCTACGCTTACTGAAGGCAATGAAATTGATAAGCTTTCAGATAATAAAGGAGATTATTCACTGGTCCCTGAAACAATTATACACTTGACCCATATTCAGTCACGATTACTATGAGAATCACAAAGATGCTTCATTTTAATAAGAATTAAGCGAGTTAAGATCAGTGCCAGAAACAAAGTAGTACATCTAAACTCTGGACCATTAAGACATAATCTATAAAATGACATCTCCTCAGTTAACTGCAAACGACTGTTTCAAGCTGAATGCTGTTCAGCATTTCCTAGCTCCCTTGGATACTAGGTATATCTTCTGTATATAACCCCTTCCTGTGTACATGACACCTTCTGATTTTCTGCGTGGGATTCTTTTTACATGGTGTTACTTCCTGACTTTTTGATTACTCCTCCAAACATGCATTCTGCGTCTTAGAAAAAGGCATGTTTTTATTGCTTTGTGTATTTGTGCTTGTGTTTGTATTCTTGTGTGTGAATAGTTTTTAATGGACTGAGTTAATCAAAGAAAGTATTATCTAGCTTGCATTTGCATTTGAGGACATTTTAACTTATTTTCCTGCCTCCCACCACCACCACCAAAGAATCATAGATACCTGGGGGTGGGGAGGTGAGTGGGACATACAGAAAGGAAGTTGAGTGGAGATTGAGTTTTCTCACTTTTATTTTCTCGTAAGTCAGTTATGGAATGAGAATAAAGGGTCACAAAGAAAGCATATGCCTCCAGTCCTAATTTCTTAAAATGGAAGACTCCTGTATTCATTCAACATTTCTCCTGATTTCTTTTTGTAAACATTTATATTCACCTTTTTAAGTACAACACATTGATCGCTTCCATACCTTATCTTGGATGATAGCAGTTTCATTTGATGATAAAACTCTAAAACCTAGCTGGTTTCCATTCTTAAAATAGGAGTAGGACAACTACAAGGGAAGAAATAAAACATCTGTGGTATATCCATACAAACAGAGAACACAGTGTGGTGGGAAGCACAGCACTGTGCATAAGTAGAGATATCAGTTATATCAGGTATATACACACACACGCACACACATATCAGCAGTGGGCTCATACGTCTAATACTGAATTTATCTTAAAGTTCCACAGCATTGGGAAAAGGATGATAAAACTATATGATAAGATACACAAAAACTAAAATATCATTTAAGATCATATAGCTCGTAGTGGTCCTTTCCAATTCCATCCCCTCAAATATTGTATATGTCTGCTGTGTAGTGCAAATGTGCATTCTAAGTTTGCAATTGCAAAGTGTGATTGCAAAATCACAATTGAAAACAAATTGTGCCATCGGAAGAAATAAACCAATACAGGGAACTAAAAAAATAGCTTTGGTAGACTTTACATAGTATTTCATTTGCTAAAGTCAGTATAAATAAAGTCTATAAATGTAAAGAACAAAGTTCTAATTTTGATTTTTAGTTTGATTAGGTAGATTTATCACCATGAATAAAACTGATAATGAAAACTATAGTAAGCTTATAGTAAATTTCATTATATTTTTAGAGTTAATTATCAAGTAAGTAAACTTCCAAACACTATGAAGCCTAGTATCTTCACTTGCCCTGTACCAGAATGGTAACAAAGTACGAACTGACTACATGTGATATAAAATAAATTCATCTTGAATAGTAAGATAGAGATAGGTTGAATGTAAAAGAATATACAATATTTACCATGAGAACACTAATTATAAAAAATATGGACTGGCTAAATTAACATCAGATAACGTAGACTTCAGAACAAGGAATATTATCAGAGAAAAAGAAACTATGTAATGA